CGTCCGTTTCTTCCTCTTCTGGCTTCTCTTTACTCACTTCTCCCTCCTCCGGCCTCTCTTCTAGCCTCTCTTCACTCACTTCTTCCACTTCCTCTCTATTCACTTCTTCCACTTCCTCTCGATTCTTATTCACTTCTTCCCTTTTCGTCAGCTTCTCTTCCAGCTCCTCTTGTTTCATTTCTTCCTTTTTCGCCAGCTTCTCTTCCGGCTCCTCTTTTTCTTTGTCTTTCTCGTCGTCCTCTCCTTCCTTTTCGGAGCCGGAAACTCCACCTTGTTCCAATGATCCTTCTCTATTTTCCGCTACTACTGAACCTGGATTCCAGTCCCATTCTGATTCTGAAGTAGCTGCACTAGTTAGCAGCTGAAGTTTAGGGGTTGCAAGTTGACCCATCTAGGTCGCATATCTATGACCTTCACCTTCCTGCTTGTTATGCTTGATGAGGTCAGAGATATGCTAATAGAGAGGTCAACTAACAACCCCTAAGAAGTGGTGGGTTACTGGCGTCCTCGTAGAGGATAGAGTCAACTGCCTTTTGCCTCTGCAATATTTCGCCAACCGTCTGGACCTGATGTTGCCCATCCTCGACCAACGCTTGCTGATGCAGTTCCTGTTGCTGGAGCAAAGCAGAAGATGGCAGTAGCAGCGTTGTTGACTGCGCTGATGTCCTTTCGCTTTCGCTTTGTTGATCAACTTCAGGACTGAAAAGAAGTGAAGTTGGACGTTGCTGCGAGTTGGCCTCTTTAGCTCGCATATTATCTATCACCTTCCTACTTGAAAAAGGTCAGAGATGATATGCTCTCCGGTAAATGTAGGTCAACTTCCAACCCTTAACGAAAGGTAAGCCTCGCGAGTGAGACACACAGTCTCGTCCTCGGTGGGCAGCAAGCTGTTGATGGCGAGCGCACATCTCCAAAGCAGGAAGGGGCCCGACAATGTTATGAGCAGCAGCAGCACGCTGAGAGCCGGAAGACCAAGTAGCTTCACGTCTTTCAAGCACAGAAGAGATTCTAGCCTCGAATATGCAAACCACCTGAGGAAAGGCCGCCATCGAGCCCCTCCTTCTAAACGTCGAGGACCCGCCTGCTTCGTGGTCTTGGTCCTCATTATTGAAGCTGCACCAGCATAACTGTTGGTCGCGTCACTGCTGTCCTTCGTAGTTCCCGAGCCTAGAGGACTACTAGAAAGAACACGGTTCGTGTTGCTATAGACCCAGTCTCCGATTTGCTGAGGCAGGAGGTAGAAGCTTTCTCTAGAAACGCTGTCTTCACCTGAAGACGGGGTTGTCAGACGCAGCCGAGACTTTGGCGAAAACTGCAACGGAGATTCGATCTCCTTCTCATTTACTTTTTAGAGCCAGCCACCACAGAGCCAGCCACCACCATAAAATTCAAATAGGATATAATTCCAACGTGTTGGTTCGTGTTTTTGAGAAGATTATTTTTATCATGCGTCTTGCTCTTGGAGTTGGACCCACCGCCACCACTTGGAGCTGTCCTCCCAGTGTCATGAGATGAGCGACCTCTTCTACCCCTACATCTTCTACTTTTTCATGAGCTATATCTATTTTCTCGTATGCGCAGATAGCACCAAGACGCTTCAGCTACTTCCGAGAATGGATAATACAAAGGAATGCCTTAATCCTTGCTCGTCTTCTTCTTTCTCCGCTTTTTCTTTTTCTTTCCTTCCTGAGCATCGTTTCTGCCGCATGAAGGCGGGACCACAAGGGCTCCTACAGGTTTTGCGTGTTCGTCTGCAGTAGTTGCTACTGATGCTGGATCAATCTCTTTGTCACACGACTCTTCCGGATCATGATCATGAACATGGCTATGAGAGGCAGTACTAGTAGCCTCTCTTGCGGTTGTACTCGCATGTCGACGATCGAGATCGAGATCTACGGGTTGCGCAAGCACCCCACCACTAGTAGAGGAAGAGGCCATTGCTGCAGCTCCAGCTGCGCTGCTCGCTGTGCTGCAGCTCCTCGAACTAAATCACCAGGTAGCACGATCACGTGTAGGAGTGCGTTACAATGAGCAGGAAGAGGAATCGTCTAAATAAATTTAAAAACGAATCTTCTTGTTCATGAAAATTCCATCACCTCGCTGAGTCTTGTAGAGCACCAGGCTGAGAGATGATCGCGAAAGCGACGCTTTCTTAGGCTGCAATACTTCTTACGGGGCTGCTGCTCTTTGTCGTCTAAGTCATCTCTGAGTTCACCACTGTCCCACGTCCACGCTAGGCTTTGCTTGAGGCCGAGAGGCAGTTTTCAAGCAGTGAAAAAAGGGACTCGTTCGACATGGTCATATTAGGTATTCGATACTGGTGGCACTTTTAGGACTCTTAACAGGAAGGTTGCTTTGACATTGAGATTGAGGTAGCTACTTCTTTTTTACATTTACAACAAGTTGTAGAAGAGCTTCCTAGTAAAACAAAGAGAGCTACACTTGTTGTTCAACATCATACACTTCGTCTCAGAAAGGTTCAACAGCATGCGAAGTTGCACCCTCACAATCATAACAGATGCCTATCCAATGCTCTTAGGACGGTTTTTGGCCATGTTCTCTCGTCCATTACTACTTGCTCAGTTTGTTACGTAGTCCTAGCCTCCATCTCATTTGTCTCGTCACTCGTGGTAAAACAAAATTCCAAGTCAGTGGCTGCATGTGCATTCACAAAAGCCTGTAGCAGTATTGCGACGTGCCAGCTTCCGTTCAAGTCAATGTCAATATTTTTGAAATTTTAAGAAATGAATTAAACGAAATTTCAGAAATGGCTCCCAGTAAGATGTTCAATCTTAGTCGATGAGCAGGTAGTGTTCGTCTGACGCGGGTCAATGTTAATATAGGCGGGGTAGTCGTAGTGCTAGTATCCCCACTTCGTCGTGGGGTGCTTGGGCATATTATTGGCTGGGGTGGGGTGTATGGCGTTGTTGCTGGTGACCTCAATGTCCATGAGAAGAAAGTTCCTGATCATGATCTATGATCATCTTATGGCTCAACATTTTCATCGTCATGATCTTGTGAACAGCAAAAAAATCACTGAATGATGGAACGGACAAACATGTGTGTCACTCCCCGTTGCCCTTCAGTTCTTTTACCAGGCGAATATGCGGCACTAAACCACCAGTGTTATCCGGTACTACAACAGTTCCAAGACTTGATACTTTCTCCCTTGATCGTTCCTGGAGGTC